CCCCCCCCCAAGTCTCCCTGCCTGACTGCAGCCACCCCTGAGGCCGGCCTACGTCCCACGGGACACACTGCAGACTCCACTCATCTGACCCCTCGGGAGGCCAGCCCCCTCCTGGGCTCATGCTCAGCCACCAGATGAAACCCCAACAACTTTCCTAGGCTCACAGGCTCAGAACAAGGTGCGCATCACAGCTCAGGGATGGTAACTTCCTGTGAGGGCAGGACTTACCAGGTCATCGACAGGAACTGCAATATGCAGAATAGTAAGGCCAGCCCCTTCTTGTGCCACTGACAGCAAGAGACAGACATAATGAGGAAAGGATTTTTCAAACCATTTTTTCACAACCACGTTTAACTCTCCCCTTCAAAAATGTAAGACGATAGGTCCATTTTATTAAATCTTAGTATGACAAATTTAAGACTCAATAGATGTGAAACTTAACTATCCATAGAGTATATTTCCTTTATAAAATTCTGTGTCCATTAACTTAGATACTGCTAAATACATGGCATTAAATCAGTGAACTGAACATACCAAAACTCTGCAATGTGAGGTCCTTAAAGCAAATGTTAACGTTCCTAAATCAACACTTAAAACCCCACGGAGTTACTAGACTTACATCCTACGTAGAATTATAGACTTTACTTGGTCTCACTTGCTCCTTTCCGTGAGTTATTTTTTGAAGGAAAACTGTATTTCATTGTGATCTTCTGGAGTAATGTATAATAAACAGTTTCCACGACTGTTTTTAAATGACCCATTTTTAGAATTCCTTGTCCATTCTTAATCTTCATTTATTTATTTAACCTACTGATTATAAACAAACAGGCTGCTAGCCCATTCCAAAATCAGAAACCAATTTTCCACAGGGATATGCAAAAATTGTTAAGAATATTCCTTTCACTTATCAATGGGAATGTGTTGTAAGTAAATTCCCACAGAACTAAAGTTCAGTCCTGACAGTGTCAAAATTAAAAGGAAAATCAGAACCGCTTTTGCTACAGCATTTCTAAGACATGACACACTACCCCTCCTTTAAACGGAGGCGTTTTGTCGATGGCTCAAGAGCCACCTCAAAGCCTTCTGGGGAGCAGGCCGGAAACCATCAGTCCACATGAAGGGCCAGGAGCCAGGTACCTGAGCTGAACTGTAACAGTGAGCTCTGTAGGGATAATGAAGCTGTTCGCCTCGCCCGGGTGGTACGGGACTAATGGAAGTTTTTGCTCATTTGTTTTGGTTTGATTTCTGGCCCTTCCTGTGTAGTGGCTTCGACAGTCTGTGCCCATAACGTGCCTTCGTCAGCGGCTACCTCCGCCCTAGCCGAGCAGACAGAGGCCTCTCCCAGCTCAGGGCTGACGGAGGAGCCTGAGCTACAAGGAAGGACAAGCTCGCCTCTGCCCATTTCAGGTGCGGAATCGAAGGCAAGTCTAGCCACCCACTGGGTGTCACCACACATTACCTTAGGGACACATCTTTGGGGGGTTTTTTGTTGTGCTTTTTTTTTTAAGTATATCTTTATTGATTTCAGAGAGAGGAAAGGAGAGGGGGAGAGAGAGAGAGAGAAACATCAATGATGAGAGAGTCATTGATCGAGCCCACAACCTGGGCATGTGCCCTGACCGGGAATTGAACCCCAATCGCCTGGATCCCAGGCCGATGCTCAACCGCTGAGCCACACCCGGCCGGTCTTTGGTGGGTTTTAAGAAGCCAGACTTTGAGCTCCTCTGAGGTAGCCCAGTTAGTGAGAAGCAGGAGTGGCCAATGTACTTACCCAGAGAGCAGCACACAGGGTAAGCACGAAACACAACTGGGGGAGGAAAGAAAGAACTGTGAGTCCGCATCCTCTCAAAGCTTAGTAAGAATGCATCCACTCCCTGCCTTCATCTGCACGGATAACATACTCAGAACAAGCCGGTGAGACAGCCGACTCCCACTCTATGCACACACTCCAGGGGCTATTCTACTTTAGAGTCTACGACCGCAATGCTCCCTGGCAAATGGAAGCACCTAGAAAATAATATGCTGAGTATGTCAACAGAAAGAATGTTAAAGAGTGATTTAGTGACAAAAGCTGTTCTTAGGAATGACCATGTCCATGCTCAGTCACCACACTACCAACATGGCACTTAGTGCCGCTGAGACACAGTTGATTGCTTTACCCAGTTCATTCCATGAGGAGCCTCCTGCGATGCCGTTCACACAGAGACAGCGTTACCACTCCACATGTCTGTGCCCTCAGGAGGCAGGGAGTTGCAAGGGGGGGGCAGGTAACAGCAACAGGGACAGGCAGGACTCTGGAGACAGAGAAATAGGCGACATCCCAGTCTGACGCCCACTAGCCGAGTGTTCTGGGTTAAGACAGTTACTTGTCTAGACCTCAGCCGTCTTCCCTTTGAAAGGGCAGCAGCTACCCACCAGCTCTACAGGGGCACGTGAGAAACACATCAGAGCATGTCTGTAATGCGCTCGGGGAGGGGGGGTGGCTGGCACTTAGAAGGCGCTAAGTGTCCGTATTCCTTTACCTTCGCTATTGGGCACAAGCCTATGTCAGCAGCAAATGAGACCCTGCCAAGCGTCCGAGTAGGAATGTTCTGACAAGTCATCACTAACATGAGACCAGTGAATAACTAATGGTCTCGCTGGGGAGACACTTTATGTTTCTAAGTGTCTGAACACCTCCCGACCTTGTGCTCATTAGAGAACATCACTGAGACCGGTCTCAGGGTGTCACAAACAAAATAACCTACGTAAATCTTAGTGAAATACCAACCTGCCACAGCCCAAAAGCGTAAGGTAACTTCTCAGTGACCTGGGTAAGTTAAACATTAATACGTACGCTGCTATACAAGCTAGTATAGGAAACTCAAAACTGTTGAGAAAGTCAGAATATGATGAAGCTCAATAAGGACACAAATAAAAAGGCTACAAATAAAAAGCAAGGAGAAGGCACACGTCACAGCTGAAAATGTTTCCAAACCTGTGAAACTGCAAGATTAGCTGTGTTTGAAAAGCAAATTAATAGTTAAAAGGATAAACTAGCTACGCTAACATTTCAAGTCAGAAACATGCTTTCAGGGGAAAGAACTCTGGGAGAGACACCAAACAGGCACATGAGCACCAGAGGCTCCGCGGAGAGGGGCTCAGGTCCCCTCGGCACATCACATCCCAAACGGCCATCTGTGAAGACCCCCAAATGCAGGACAGAGAACCTTGAATGAAAGAGGGACGACCCAACAGCCACAGACAGGGCCCACCCGCAAGGGCTGGCACAGGGACAGGAACTGCAAGTAAAGCCCTGCTGTTGGAAGTTTGTCAACTAGCCAACTGGGAGGGACAAAGCCAGGGGACAGGCCACTGAAACCAATGCCAACCCTCCCTGAGAAGACTCAAATGGACCCAGAAGTGACCTGTCCTCCAGCCCTGTCCTCCAAAGAGCACACACAGCAGCCCATAAGACACGCTCCCAGAGCTGGACCATAAAACACAGCGAGCTTGGATTTTCACTTTAACTGCACAGCGCTAGCGTTAGACAGGTGCATGGGAAGTGGGATGTACCCAGGCGATCGTGTAGGGGACGCTGCATCACCCAAACTCTTCAGTCTCAGCCCTAAGGACACCATTGTCAAGCACAACAAGAGAAACGCGACAAGTACTCGCAGGAAAATGGGCACTTGCTTGTAAAATAACACAACAAATACTTCAATAGTTTTTATGTTTTCATGTTTACTTACAATCATAATAACTGTCGCGAGCAATCTTGTGGTTTCAAACATTTTCTTGAGTTGCTTGAAGGGTCCCATCAAAAAGCATGTGCTGTTCGAGACAAACAGAAGAGCTGAGAGGCGGCCGACTGACCCCTGGTTACACAAACGCTCTCAAGAGAAGACATCCTGAGAGTTGACTCAGTAACAATCTCTCACTAAACCTGGCTTATTTTTCCTTAATGTTAAGAGGAACCTTGAGTCTTCTATCAGACATGAATGCCTTTTCACAGTGACCCACACTGCTACTTACAGCTCCACGTGAGCACGGGAGCCAAAGCCACCTCAGACTGGCGAGGCTGTTTTCACTGTGTGCCAGTGTCACCACCACCTCCTCATCTGCGGGCACAGTCCACAGCGGGACAATGAAAAAAGGACACCAGTGACCGTCAGGGCAGAGCCTCTAACAGCTACTCCAGAGCCGTGCTAGTCAGCTTCCTTCAGACCAGTCTGGACAGTCACAGGAATGAGCCCAGGAGAGCGGGCTGAGCCTGGCCTTGGCTCATGCACATTTACTGGACAATACCCTGATCCAGAAAACTCCTGGAGACACAGACAGTCACCTCATAGAGGTAAGCGCACAGAAACACAGAGCTCTTAAATCTGATAATTGCACCAGCATATGTCAGTACAAAGATGCACCCAGGAAGCCTCAAAGAGGGGTCCCCAAGGCCAACCACCATGCCTCTGTATCACCACCCTGACTTCCTGCACAGCACATGTCCATACCTTCCCGCTGGGCTGCAGGTCACCTGACCAGCTCCCTCACTGAGAGTGGGACGCAGGCTTCCTGAGAGCAGGGACTTGGGGCTCCGCAGAACTGTCGGGGGAAGACTGCCTCATCCCCTCATTAGGCACATCCCCAAATGCTGGATGGGGGTGGTAACAGTGCCCACCTCATAAACTGGGGGTAGAAGCAACTCTGGCACACAGCGAGTGCCCACATGCTAGCTACTCCTACCTTGAACACTATGATAGCAGCTGGCACACACGACAGCAGTCAACACATAGTTACCCAACAAATGTGGATTTTGTGACTCAGTCCACCCTACATCAGAGCTACAGAAACATGTCCTATCAGGAAAATGTTCATCAGGAAGGAAAATTTTGAGGCGATAGCAAATGAAACATTTTGAGAAGCTGACGCGGGCACATACCTGGCTAAGGCGGCAATATTTCCAAAGGTGTAAAACACTGCGAAAAGCTTTATGCCCCCAGGGAGCCACAGCAGTCCAGTCCCCTGAGTCAAGACACCAGAGTTACTTCAGTTTACCATGGCAACGGCATCAAACGAAATGCACAACAGTGTAATATAAATGTGCAACAGTGTAAGTTCTCAGTATAGATGTGCTCCATAGTCTCTGATGGTATCATTTTAAAATGTTAATTTTCAATGTTATTTACTAATTTGTATCTTGTGTCTATCTGCGTATAAATGAGCCACAACACAATGTCCTATACGTGAATCTCCCTACTTAAACATTCCTTTCCAATGGCAAGTTAAAAAAGGTAACTAACATCTAAATGACTGACTCTGTGGCTCTTTTGATTCTTCTTAAATGACATTATTTTAACAAACCATGGCCCCCCAAATATTAATTTCTACATCTTTGTATTGGTCTCTGCTCCTTTATTCCAGTGACTGACTAGGCCCCATCAAGCAGTCTGAGAGCAATCCAGATAGGGCGACTGCTTGTTGGCACATGGGGCACAGAGCAGAAATGACCACACAATCCCATCTTCACTCACGAGGATGGAGAAGCAGATGCCGCTCACAAAGCAGATGGCGAACCACTTCAGCCTGGTGTTGAAGCTCAGGGATGAGGCGTCCAGGACCTTAGGAGGCGGGGGATCAGAACATGTGCTTAAGTCACCACACACCAATCGGCTCTTTATGCTAAGTTAAGGCAGGTTGCATTTTAACCCACAGTGTGGATGGGTCTCTGTGTTATTCTGCATATTGTAATGCCGTTTAACAACATTAAGACCCCATGACTGTTAAGAGAAGTATGAACATGGTCTGGGACCAGATGGTCCTGAGGAACCACTGTCACCTTCGGTAGGTGTGGTAGCAGGGCTGTGCTCATGTTTAAAGAGCACTTATCTGCTGGGGCAGTACATACACTCTGATACGGATGAAATGACATAATGCATAACACGTATTATAAAACACAGGGTAAATAAAAAAAGCAAAGATTCAACAAGATGGGCAAACTGTTGACAGGTGAGGCTGGGTCGTGGTACAGCGGTTCACCACACCTCTCAGCGGCTGTCTAGGTTGCTTAGATTTAAGTGTCCTATGCGCAAAGCAGAGAAACCCAGGCGAAGTGGGGGGAGCTGGAGAGGGCAGAGGAAGGAGCTGGGCAAGGACGAGGCTTCAGCTGAGTTCAGGGCAGGGCTGCAGTGCCAGCTGCTCAGGGTCAGTGCTGCCTTGAGCAGGGCCAGCCTTCTGGAGCCTACCTCATGCCAGCTGCTCACTGTCTGGAGGCTGGGGGCGGAGTGGGGGTGGCTGCAGGAGCTCCAGGGTGAGCAGAGGGGTACAGCCACTGGGGGATACACCCCCCTGATGATGGGGACCTGGGTGGCAACCTGTAGTGCCTACCATTAGACACACTGACAACTTTCCCTGTAAAGAGTTCTTCCCAAACCAGCTCATGAAAGCCTTGGTATCTGCCCAACCAGCATTACAAACACATCTGTCAAACCACCATTTATCCTAGAACAACGACATTCCGTATGTCATGCAAATTCTAACCACTGTGTGGGAAAAAGCAGTACTCTGCATACTTTACACAGCAGGACAGTGCAGCATGCAGCAATGCTAAGTACACCATTAAAACTTATTTTCCCAGTAAGCAGAAAAGTATCAAGAACAGCTGCTCCAAGAAACTAGAAACATACAATAAGAGTGTATTTTCCAGAATAATGAAGTAAAAACAAAGGTTTACACGCAAAAGCTCAAAATACCTTTGGCTACATCCTTACCTGAGTCGATTAATCTGTGAATCCTTATGTAGCATGAAAAGTAGATAAAAATAACTAAAGATTCTGTCAAAGTAACACATCACTTTTTAACACACTTTAAATCTCTTAAAATTTTTCGTTTAATTCAGACATTGTTTCTAGCAGCGTCATCTGTTCGCTGGATTTTAAACAAAGAACGAGCTTGCCTGTAAAAACATCTGAATTTCACTCCTTCCACTAGGAAGAACACCCATCAAGCATATTTTAACCACACAGAACAAAATGAACCCTGAAGACTGCACACGACGTAGGAAATGACCCAGTCGCGCCTGGAAAACGGGAACCGTACCCCGAGACAGGCTGACTTCTGCGTGGTGAGTCCGCATGACCGGAGCGGGCATGAGAAGAAAAAGCGCCCGTTTCACTTTCTTACAAGTTTAAATCGCTCCACTGTTAGCAAGTTCAGTGCTTGGCTCGCAATGGCCAGTTTATTTTCTCTCAGATACATTGTACTTGTTTTTCTAACAGGAGGTGTTTCCCCGTGTTCCGTCTTCCACGGGATGATCTTTAAAATGTAACTGATACAGTAAGTAGGCAGTAGACAGACAGACAGACAGACGGGAGCAGAGGAGGATAGGTGCAGAGCGCAGAGGTCACCAGGGCAGAAAGCACCCCCACCCCCGTGCCTAGCAACGGGCAGAAACGGGACCCCAAGGACCCCAGGGTCACCTCTCCCCCAGCACATGGTTGGTCGTGAGGCTGGGACCCCCCGACCTTTCCTCCCCTGGCACGTCACTAGTCGCGTGGTAGGCCCCCTTCGAGGGCGAAGTGTGCATACATTTCGGGGGGACACCCTGCCTTTAGGGGTTCCTGCGTTACCCTCATGATTTGCAAACTGGTTCGCCTCGGGCTCTGACCCCTCCGGCTAGTCCGGGGTCCTGCCCAAGCACACGGAAGGGAGGGCGGGCGGAGGGGCGAGCGAGGCCCCAACCCTACCCGGTTCCGAGCGCCCGTCCCTGGCGGGCAGGCCGGCCCGCGGCGCGCCCGGCAGAGCTCGCAGGACGCAGTTTCACTCCCGTTTTTAACTCGGCGGAGGAAGCCGCCTCCCCAGACCCCGTGGGAAAGCCGGCGCGGGCTCGTTACCCCTCGCGGCGCTTCACGCGGCTTCGCTTCGCTCCCAGCCTCCAAAGGACGCCGCCCCCCATTCACCTCCCGGGCAAGCGGGGGCGGCGGCCTCAGGGTCCGGGCTCCGCAGCTCCCAGGACCGAGCCCCCCCCGCGGCG